GCCTTCCCCGCGCTTTATCGACCCTGACCAGCCTTTATTTTTAAGTGAGGGCGTTAAAAACCTTTTAAACCATTTAAATTATAAAAAAAGAGCCCCCTCTCCTCTGGCAGTTTACGGCTGGGTGTGATTTTTGTCCTGTCGGGGGTTTATAGTGCCGGTTATTTCAAGTTCTTCCCGAACCACAGCGTATTTCTGCTCGGTTGTTTTGGCGTTGGGGCTTATCTCGTTAACGCGTTGTCTGGTTTTATTTTTGATCTGGGGTTGTTTTTACTGCACGGTTCGGTCAGTCTGTTCTCCTACTGGAAACTTTTCCTGATCCGATTCCGCTTCGTCCAGCGGCTTCTCTCGGGCGCAGGGCTGCGTTTCTGTCGCCGGAGTCTCTGGCAGATGTCTGCCTCAGCTCGGTCCTGCTCGGCATCTGCTCGTTATCCCTGGGCTCCTGCTTTCAGTAATCCTCTTGTCCTTTCCCGAGTTAGCTGTCTGGCTCTCCGTTATCGAGGGAGGGGAGCCTGCCTTGTCTGTCGACGTCGCTCTTTTTCCCCTCCGAAGACCCCCAGCAGTTAGCACAGTTTGTGCTTTCCTTTCTCGAGCCGCGTTCCCCCAGCGCAGCTCGCTCCAGAAGGATCTTAGAGAAAGGTACTGGGCGCCCTGGCTTTGTTTCTTTCTTCTCGGTCACTGAAGCTGAACTTCCAGGGGCAGATGCGATAGGACCGGGGCCAAACCTTGTTGTGATTGTGTCTGGGATCGTAGGATGCCGCAGGGACCCGGCTGCTGACCTTCCCCTCCGCTAACGCACCTTCCTCTCCCTCTCTCCGCAGGAAAGTGAGGATGGCATTGAAGGAGACGGTGAGTAATGACTCTCTCTGGCACTGCAAGTGCTCTCTGCGTGCAAAAAGTGGAAACCAGACAAAATGCCTTTTCCAATAGTCCTGCAGTTGTTGCCATCCCAAATATTACCTCATAATAACAGGCAAACGCGGGGTGCAGGGACGGTGTGCCACAAACTCGCCCTTGCTTCCTCCTGCGTGAGCTGGCAATGGTATTAGGCGGGGACGCTTTGGTGCTGGCCTCTGACTTCCCCTTGGTGGGACTGTTCAGCGCGTGTTTGCCGGCAGTCGCCCGCAGCGCGGCGTGTTACGCTCGGAGAGAAGCTGTGTTTCTGTTTCTGCCCTGACACCAAACTCCTTTTTCTCCCCCGCAGCTGTACTCTCGGATTACGAAAGCGCAGAAGACTCGGAGGTAAGAGGAGTCTCTGTCCTGGTGCTTAAAGGCTTCTGCCGAGTGACTGCATCTTGCATAATTTTAGCACAAAACGCAGTTTGTGTCCTTTGTTCTCTTCCACTGACCCTGCCGGCAGTGATTGCCTTTGTCTTAAGATACCAGCTCGTGTGCTTCGCGCCAGCCGTGCAGAGACTCGGAGCGAGCCGTGCTGCGGCGTAGTCATCGCCACTGCAGAGGAAAACGGTCTCTCCCAGTCTGAGCCCCTCGCTGGGCAGTTCCCTCGCGTACGGTCCGCGGCGCTGGGCCCAGCCCTGTGGAGAAGCCACCTGTGCTGCTGGGGGGTGGATGTAGGGCCTGTATGTGTGTGTGGGGGAAAAACGCCTGGCTCCTCAGACACTGGATGCCGGGAGCAGAATTTGCCCTGGCCAAGAGGAGCGTGGAAGGAAGTGCAGGATGCTG